TGGACTCGGCTTGCCTGCTTTTCTACTTTTCTTTTTTAAAAATCTGACTTTCAGGAAAATGACTTTATTCTGTTAACAGTCACATGTCTCCCACATCAACAGGATTTTGTCTTCCCCTTCCAATTATTTCCAAAATTTGTCTTTTAAATTGCCTTGAAATTTAAAATCAATAGTCTGAGTGTGGGGCTGCTAAGTGTGTGTGGATTAAATTTAAGTGGAAGGAGGCATATTTCTAATCTGTATGCTTTGGGGCAGCAGTGACTTACAAATGATTTTGAGACTTGAGACCTTGAGCATTTGAAAATTCAACGTTGTTTCCGGTTTAACAAATTTTAGTGGCTATGGAACGTCTCTGGATTGTGATGAAGAGAATTATAAGGAAGAGGACTGACTTAATTGGCATTGTAACAGCAATGTACCATGGGATTTCCTGCTTTAGATTAAGTATAAACTGCTCCAGCTATTTAGCACAGTCAGAAATGCTGAGAAAAACTCATTAGATGTGCTTGACACAGCTGTCATCAAAGGTTTGGTGTGGTTCTTGCAGTGAATTTTACTGCCCTACCTTTCTGATGACTGAATCACTACAACTGACTTAGCCATCATTTATGATTGAGGTAAGGTGACTCTAAACACTAAGCTGTAAAGAATCTGTCTTTATTTAAAGGACAAGAGAACAAAAGCATGAAATACTATTGATGCTGCTTTCATTATATTAATAAGATTATAATTGTGAGGTTGCTGATAATATAGGATGATTTAAAAATAAGGTGGAATTAAAATTCTGAACACTGTTTTGTTAGCCGTGTATATTAAAAGCATAAGGATAATAAAATGTGTAATTCCCAAATCAATCAAAGAAGAAATACCATACAAAGAGGAAAGAAAGTGAAAGCAAGATGTATAAAAGGTTCAAAATTAAAAATGTGGAAGCCAGTATGTCAACAATAAAAATTAATGGATACAAAATACAAATTTTTAGATTGGATTTTAAAGACTAGATTTGTTCAAATTTTGTTCATTTGTAAGAGACTTGTTCAACACATAATGATAGAGTTTTGCCTCTGGCCGTGATGGTATAACTGTTACTGAACTAGTCTTCCTGCTGTACACAGCTAGAAAACTATGCAAAATAGACAAAGCAACTGTTTTCAGATATTGATCAGTAGGCCACCCCAGACTGATCCAGGAAAGAGGTAAGTCCTACAGTCAGCCAGCTTTCTTCCTGGAGGTATTTTTTGGCCTCTGTCACAAGGAGGAGCTCAGAGTTTTATAGTCTCACTGAACTAAGGATTCAAAGATTAGAAACGGGGGAGACTAAAGCCCCTGGAATTTTCAGGGCAGAGTAACAAAAGGAGGGAGCTATCCACTAAGAGTTTCAGAAATCTGCCTTGAGATTTCTGCCTCTGAGATTCCTAGGAATCTTCTTATGTTTTTGGCTATTAAGCAATATGTATGCTGACTGACACTTTATAATTCAAGCTAAGAACAACTACTAGGGGGCTGTAAGCTGACAACTCCCAAAGGTTTAAAACGACTGGGAGGGAGACTTTCACATTCTGACCAGTCAGAGGGGAACGACTTTGAACACCCAGGATATTCAATTAGAGAGGCCATGCCTTAGCAGTAGTGCTGTATACTTTACCCAACAAAGCTTTGAAAACAAGTCTTAAATGGATCAAGCTGATCTGCCAACAAATTAACTGCTGTAAAATGTTTTACGGGCAGACCAGAAAGTAAAAGAAACTCAGACAACGTTCAAAAGTCCAGAATCCAGTTAAAAAGAAAAGTCATTAGAAAAGAAGTAAGAAAATGTGGCATATAGCCATGAGGAAAAATAGTCAATAGAAACCAATCTAAAAACTATTCCATATCCATTAATTTTTATTGTTGACGTATGGTTTCCACATTTTTAGTTTTGAACCTTATATTCATCTTGCCATCTCTTTCTTTCCTCTTTGTATGGTATTTCTCCTTCTTTGATTGATTTGGGAATTCCACATTTTATTATCCTTATGCTTTTAATATGCATGGCTAACAAAACTGTTCAGAATTTTAGTTCCACCTTGTTTTTAAACCATCCTGTATTGATTATCAGCAACCTCACAATTATAGTCTTATTAATATAACTGAAAGCAGCATCGATAGCTCTTCATACTTTTGTTCTCTTGTCCTTTAAATAAAGACAGACTCTTTACAGCTTACTGTTTAGAGCCACCTTACATCAATCATAAATGATGGTTAAGTCAGTTGTAGTGATTTAGTCATCAGAAAGGTAGGGCAGTAAAATTCACTGCAAGAACCACACCAAACCTTCAATGACAGCTGTCTCAAGCAGATCCAGAAATAATATAGAGTAGAATTAACATATACGGACTTATAAAAAGCTATCATAAAAAATACTTTTTTGAGATCTTTACTGTTAATGTAATGAACAAAGAAATAGGAAATATAAAAATGAACCACATACTTTTCTAGAGAAAATAAAATAAAACTCTGAAATGAACAATTATCTGTATGGGCTTAGCAGCAGTTAGTTAAGATGCTATAAAAGAAAATGCAAAATTTGAAGACAGGACAATTAAAACTAAACCACAAAGAAAAACTAAAACAAAAATGCACACAATTTCATTGACCTGTAGAACAGTACCAAGTGATATAACATTACGTATTTGAAGTTCTAGAATAGGGGTGAGGGGACAAAAAGTACATAAGGAACAAATGACCAAAAATGTAAAAAATTTGATAAAATACGGAAATCCACAGATTCAAGAAGCTTAATTAATCTCAAGCAGGGTACTACATCAAAGCCCATTACAGAGTAATCAATGTTCAAAAAGCCAAAGATAACAAAATATTAAAAGCAGCCAGAGGAGAAAACACACATTACGTATAGGGAAATAAAGATAAGAAATGACACAGACTTCTCAGTGGAAACAGTGCAAGTCAGAAAACAGTGGAAAGATACCTTCTTAATGGGGTTTACCTTGACTGCCATATTTAAAACCACAGCCTCAGCTGGGCACAGTGGCTCACGCCTATAAGTCCAACACTTTGGAAGGCCAAAGCGGGTGGATTACCTGAGGTCGGGAGTTTAAGACCAGATTGGCCAACCTGGTAAAACTGTCTCTACTAAAAATACAAAAATTACCTGGGCATGGTGGTGTGTGCCTGTAATCCCAGCTACTCAGGAGACTGAGGCAGAAGAATCGCTGGAACCCAGGAGGCAGAGGTTGCAGTGAGCCAAGATTGTGCCACTGCACTTCAGCCTGGGTGATGAGCGAAACTCAGTCTCAAACAAACAAACAAACAAAAAAACTGTAGCTTGCCCATCACATCCTGTTTCCCTTACCCAGACTTGTTCATGTTTTCCATGGCATTTATCATAATATACTGCATAATTCCTTATTTATGTATTCCTCTCCCTTAATAGATGTAACATTTTTTCCCGATTTGTTTACTGATGTGTCTTTAACACCTAGAAAAATGTCTTGCACAAAATAGCTGCTTAGCAAATGTTTACTGAAGGAGCAAATGAAAGAATAACAGCTATTGTGTTAGTGTTTACCAGAGAAAAAGAACCACTAGGGTGTTTGTATGTATGTGTATGTATACATAGAGAGAGAGGATTTGTTTAAGGAATTGGCTCATGTGATTGTGGAGCCTTGGCAAGTCCCAAAGCTTCAGGGTAGGCCCACAGACTGGAGACTCGAGGAAAAGATATAGTTGAGTCCAAAGGCAGTTGGCTGGCTGAACCCCTCCTGTTCAGCAGAGGTTGGTCTTTGTTCTGTTAAGGCCTTAACTAAATGGATGAGTCCCACTCACATTATGGAGGGTAATCCACTTTAAGTCTGTTCACTTAAATGTAATCTTATTTAAAAAAAAAAAAACTTCCCAGAAACATCTAAAATAACATCCAAACATCTGGGCACTGTGACCTAGCCAGGGTGACATATAAAATTAACCCTCATAATAAGGATCTTTCAAACAGTACTGCTAAGTAAGTGTGTAAGTTGGTACCAACCACTGTGGAGAATAATTTGGCAACATCTCGTAGAGTTGAATATATGCATCTCCTACCACTGAGCAGTTTTACTTCATTATATACCCTGGGAAACATTTTAGGTCACAAACATGTTCAACAAATTTTCTAAAGAATTATTTGTAATAGTAAGAAAAATAATCTAAATGTTTGTGGGTAGGATGATGGATCCTATGGTGGTATATTTCTAGATTGTAATACTGTACAGCTGTTAAAATGAGTGAACTAGATTTATACATATCAACATGGACTAATTATAAAACATATTGATTAAAAAAATTAGTTGCAAAAGAATATATATAGTTTGATATCACATATCAATTTTTGTGAACTCAGAATAATAATATATGTTCATATTAGATTTTTTTATCAGGATTCTTTTTGCTACCTAAGAGTTGGCTGTTTTATACTAAAAAGGAAAGTCTCTCTGAGCATAGACTTTTCATTACTGAGATCTTGCGATGGAAGGGACTAAAAATATGCATATGCAGTTGTTCAGTAGAAACTTGTCAATGTGACCATTGTGGACCAAAGTGAATTTCTTGCATCTACACCCATTTTTGCTAATTCTTACCGAGAACAACAAACTTTAAATTATATGACCCATGAGGAAACTTTAAAGTCAAGGATATTATATTCAGAATGCTGGATTGCACATATTTTCAGTTCAAAAAATAGAAATTCAAATAAAAGTTACCTTGAAGTCATGACATTCAGTTACCTCTACTGATATTTTCAACTAAAATAATTCACTGTGTTTTGTTAAACTATTATGAGTAAAATAAGATAAAAGTGGTGTTTGTGTTTTTATTCAGATAACTTTCTTATCAGATCATGAGTTTGGGGCAGAGACACTGCCTTTGAAAATTAACCTTAATTTTTAAATTTAATATTCAAAAATATTCTCCCAAAAATGTATTCTAATTAGCCCCCTGGGCTATTTTTTTTTCCTTTTTAGTTATCAGATGATGGCCGCTATGTCTTGTTATCAATAAGAGAGGGATGTGATCCAGTAAACCGACTCTGGTACTGTGACCTACAGCAGGAATCCAATGGCATCACTGGTGAGTTATTTTTCAGACACAGATAATTATTCCAAGAAACTTCATTTAAAAATTATTTTGGTCTATTGATTTCCCAAGACCTTTTCCTATTCTACCATTCGTATCAGTCCATCTGATTGTTTTTCTCTTAGTATTTTATTTCATATTCTTTTAGCATTCCATAAAATGAGGGAAAATGGAATGAAACTGTTGCCTTTACCATTTTCACCGTAGATTGGGATTAGCCACACTTTCTGCACATAGTGTGAAATTATCCTGTGAGTATTGCACATGAAGAACGTGAAGGAGAACCTGACCCTTTTGATCTATAAGTATTTAGATTTAATGGTGCAGCTGGGCATGGTGGCCTTATACCTACAATCCTAAGGACTCAGGAGGCTGAGGCAGGAAGACAACTGAAGGCCAGGAGTTGGAGACCAGCCTGGGCAGCATAGACAGACCCTGTATCTAAAACAAACAAAAAAGGCATAATGTTGCAAACTGTCACAGGCAAGGGTTATTAGACCAAGGAGAATTGGCTAGATTAACGTAATCAGCAGAGTGGCCCTCAGTACTCAGGAACATAACAGCCTGCATTTGCTTGCCAGAGCTTTACGTATCATGATAAGCATAGAACCACCCAGTTACAAATGGTGGAGCTGCCTCATTTTAAATGTTTTTCTCTTCCATCATCTCTATCTTACCAGCACTATCATCAAGCACAAAAACTTTTCAGCTGCACAATTTACTATGCTGAAAATTCCCAGGCCCAGAAATCCTATCAGAAGCGCTGGCACCCCAGTAAGATACTAAGCTAATTACATCATCATCTAGTTAATACAAAATATTTTAGAGAGGGTTGACATAGATTTTCAAAATACTAAGTGCATTTCTTTAATAATGTATTTACCTCATTAGTTTCTAATCTGTGTTATATTGTGATATGAAAATATGTCTGACTGAGCATTGCATCATTTTTAAACTTCTCTGAGCAAGATGTGCATCCTAACATTAGATACTACAGAGCACCATTCGTACATATAGCAGAACGAAGTCAGCAACTTTTTTCCTAGAGTTAAGTATTTATCCATTTAATAAAACTAAGTATTTTTTTTCTATTAAGAAAAAAGAAAAGCTGGTTTCTTGACACCAACATCGATCTTGGTGTCAAGAAAGTGTTTGCATTCTCTGTCAAGGCAAACCACCACCCAGGAATCGTTCACTTGAGTTGCAAGCATAGTTCTTCATAGAACTAAGCAAACCTTTTAAGATTGAGCCTGAGAGAATCAGTGACATCAGATATTATGGTGCTGTTATTCTGCATACACGTTCCAAATATAGAGAAAATTCCATCCACATATTTATATACTGGACTGTTGCTATATCCACTTTAATAAGGGATCATAATACTTTGAATGAAACTTTCAAGGGCTGGCAAAACTCCCAGAATCCCTCTTTGTTTTCCCCTAACCTCTCAGTTCTTATCTTCCCCTCAACCCTGCTATTTTATTATTGCAGTGTTAGCATTTAGAGAAGAGAGTACTCAAGAGATTTGGATTCCAGAAGGAAAACAGTACAGAGGGACACTAGGCTCTCAGAAACTAAATTCTAGTTACTGTAACCAAGAATGAGCATGAAGAAGAAAAAAGGGGAGCATCTAAGAAACGCTTTCTGGCTGTGATCCATTCAGAGCTCCAGGGAAGCTTCAGCTCTGCTCTTAAGGCCTTCAACTGATTGACTCAGGCCCTCCCAGATTATCCAGGATAATCCCTCTTCATTCAAGTCAATGGATTATGGGCCTTAATCCCATCTACAAAAATACTTTCATAGCAGCACCTGTATTTGTGTTTGATTGATTAACAAGGGACCCTAGCCTAGCCAAGTTGATAGCAAAAAGACCATCACAGTGAGCATAGAAAACCATATGGAACAAACAAGTCTAATGGTACTAACTGATTTTGTTTTTTCATGAGGCTATTAAACTGATCGGTGTTTGGGCTTCAGTGAAGCATTTGGCAAAGTATGTCATATTCTGTGGACCAGAAAGCAGAATGTGAAGTGAATAACATAAGATAGGTGGATTTGAAGCTGCTGATTGCTTTGCTTTATATTTGTGGATAACATAAACTTCAGAGTAGTTATTCTTTTGAATGGTGGTCCTGGGATTCTGAAAGCTCTGGACAGTTGCAGCTGTTGATCAAATGGATATCAGTTTTCACTCTTAGGTTCAAAAGTCAATTGTGTAGGATTGACTTGTTTGCTTTTTAACTGATCACTGGTTTCATTTTGAATCATTGATAATTATAACTTTAAAAAAACAAGTATTGTGTGTGTGATTGTTTTACTATTGAAGAGATTAAGTAAATTTAGTCTATAAAAGGGGAGACATGGCAGATTGAAATAGGGATCATTAAATTAAGAAAAAAATAGTTCCTTTTAATTACAGTTGGCTATATTGGGACAATAACCATAGCCTTTCAAATCAGATTTGAATTTTAATCTCAGCTCCGCCACTAGATTAACTGGTTACCCTGGTAAAGTTTTTTTTTCTCTCCCTTAATATTTCCATGTCTACAAATAAGGAAATAATATCTACTTCATAGGGAATTATGAGAAATAATGAAAATGCAAAGAAAAGTCCTTAGCAGAGTTTCTGGCATACAGAGGGTTCTCAAGTATTCCTTCTTTCTTGCCTGAAAGGAGAATATTTAGAATCACCGTACTTTAGTTTTAGGTAGCTTAGAAAACTAGATTGAGGACACCCCCCTCCCCCCAAAAAGAGTCTGTCTTCAGATTCAAAGCTGCTCTAAATACAGATTTTCAAATTGTTATCTGCAAAGCCAGATTTATAATCACAAAAGAGGAGACTGAGGGAACATGTCTAATTGTGCAGGCTGATAATTGAAAATTCAGAGGTGCATATGCCCAGTTGGTGACCACGACTAACTCCTAGGATCTTTTTTGCTTTTTTTTTTTTAACCCCCTTCCCCAATTTTGTTACCCTTTTTACACTAAAAGAAGAATAATTAACATTTAACTTAAATGCTAAATGCACTAGTTAACTTGAATGTTAGCTGACTTAGACCTGAACAACTGGTGCCTGAAAACTCAATCCATGTTGTGAAACCTCAAATTTCATATTACTAAAATCTGTACCCCTTTTGATATCCTAAAACCTTTCTGCTAGGATTTTATTCTGTTTTCCCTTAAAGCCAAGGGGAATTATCAACATTTTTGTATAAATTAATTACTTATATATTTAAGATACCACTCAGTTGTCTTTTTTGAGAACTAAATAATTTCACTTATATGGCTCATTTTTAGGGGGCTTTTTGTGCTCTCATTTCAAAATGCACATGGGCAGGTTTTCTTGGGAGACATTACCGTCATCTGTGTCTCCCAAAAAAACCTGCCTTTTGTGCATTTTGAAATGAGAGCACAAAAAGCCCCCTAAAAAAGGCCAATGGCAATTTAATATCTTTTAAAAGGATAGCACATAGGGAGAACAAAACTATAACAGCAGGATAGAAAATATCTTAGCAACTTGAAAGTTAAATGATGTCTGTATGAATTGAAACTGGATTCATTTTGTCAAGTCAGTGTGGACTTCTGTTCTTTTGCTGCCTTATAGGAGCGTTCTCTCTGTTGTTCTCTGACTCTCTGGAGAACCTCATTTCTGCCATTTACATTTGCAGCATTTTCACTTAAGAATATGAACACATTTGTTGCAAGCTGTGGATCACATCCTTTACCTAGTACAGTAACTGCAGTTGAGGCTGGCAATTGCTCCTTCTTACCTTTTCTGAACAGGTAATTTCCATGACTCACCTTATGCACCACTGTGTAGAAATGGAATTAGGCTTGTCATCTGGGCTTTTGAAGCTTGTATATAAAGCTCTTCAGAACTTCAGAACAGCTAAGCAGATCCTCTCCCAACAGTCACGTCCTCTTCTCCACTGGCTTACTGGAGAAATGTATGGAGTTACTACCTTCTTGCTTTGGGAGAAGAGATGTCTCTGTCAGGGGTTACCAGGCTTCCTTGTACTTTTTTTTTTTTTTTTTTTTTTTTTGAGAGGGAGTCTCGCTCTGTCATTCAGGCTAGAGTGCAGTGGCACGATCTCAGCTCACTGCAACTTCCACCTTCCAAGTTGAAGCGATTCTCCTGCATCAGCTTCCTGAGTAGCTGGGACTACAGGCGCATGCTACCATGCCTGGCTAATTTTTGTATTTTTAGTAAAGATGGGGTTTCACTACGTTGGCCAGGATGGTCTTAATCTCCTGACCTCGTGATCCACCCACCTCAGCCTCCCAAAGTACCGGGGTTACAGGTGTGGACCACCGCACCTGGCCCTCCTTGTACTTTTGATAGATACCTTTCTCTCAAGAGTTGCTCCTTCTCCTCCTTTCCCCCATTCTGATTTCCTTTTCTCTATATACAAAAACACTTTGTGTGAGGATCTGTGAGCTGCATGAGATTAGAGATGATGCCTGTCTTGTTCCCCATGGAGTTGCCAGCACCTAGAACAGTTCCTGTTGAACTCACAGCAGGTATGCGCCAGCTTGTCTCAAATGACGTTCCCTTTAGGGATCCTTGTGCGTGCGCAGGTGGCCTTGCTTGATAAGCTGTCCTTCCTCTGCAACTGTTACTGACTTCTGAGTGTTTTGAATCTTCATCCCTGTGGCTTCCTAATTTTTTTTTTAATTAAATTCTTGGTCCTTTATTGAGCCCTGAGAATGATGGGTTCTTTTTTTCACTTCTGTATATTATGTGAGCAGAAGATTTTTTGCTTCTCTTATTCTGTTGCTTGTTTAAAGTCAAAAGTGAAGAAGTATCAAAGTATCATTAAAGACACCAGGCTAGCATGACATTTTATTAGTTCTGCAGTAGGAAAGACAGCTGAGTCTTGACTCCTGTGATCCTTGATGTGGTTCATGCCTGCAGTTTTGCTGAAATTAATAATCCTGAACCTTAACAAGAAAATAATTTGTCTACATTTTCTTACATTTTCTAAACCTTTCTA